TTGTCTTTTTATAAATATCATTTCTGAAATCAATTTTTTGTTATAAATTGATTCTTTATCAAGTATTTTTACATCGTTGGGACGATCATTAGGCTCATGCTTCACAAATGCGTTGCTTTCGCTTTAAATTAAATATCTTGACTCTGTATATTTTTAGTATAATGACTTTTATAATTAATTTATGGTAAATTTTAATAACCTCTATATTTAATTATGCACGCTAATGAACTAAATTGACATTTTTGTAAGGATAGATATTATTTATAAATTTATATGTTTTGACGTTATGATTCCTTTGTTTTTACATAATATCACTTTGTTTTTAAATAATATCAAGCGATGAATTTATATATGTTGATGAGCGATGATCATAACGATGAATCTGTACTTATTAATATAATATAAGATATTAGTTTATTAATTTAAGATTATTTTGCTGTCGCTGAAGAAGGTCATAAAATTGATCGAAACGTTCAAGTTTAATTTTGTATGTTATTTAATATGTTATACATCTTTTCACTAATAAATTACTGATTGATTTAATTAGCTCTTATTGCCTTTTAATTGTTTAATTGATTAAGATGATGAGAGAGTTAAAAGATGACATGGCAGGTCTGAGAAACGAGATAAAAGAAATAAAAGAGAAGTGGGAGCTGAGAGTGGATAGAATGGAAAACAAGATGGCAGAAATGGAAGAAAGAACAAAGAATATAGAGAAACAGATGGGTGAAAGAAAAATTGACAGGGGTGAATGCATAGAATATGAGAAGAAAGAAGAAAGAGACGCATTAGGACAAGAACTGAGAAGATTAAAAAAAACGATTGAGGAAAATGAGAGGAAAGGAAGAAAGAACAATATAGTCATAAGAGGTTTGAGCACAACCGCAAAGACGGGAATTATAAAAGACATTGCGAGAAAATGATTAGAGCAGAAGTTTGAGATCAAAGATAAAATAAAGTATGTGCAAACTGCGGGTTTCGAGGGTAAGGAAATCACAATAGTAGAGCTGAATGAATGGAAAACTAAGGAGAAGATAATGAAAGAGAAGAGTAAACTAAGAGGTGAGAATATATACATTGATCACGATATGACGAAAGAGGAAAGGGAGGTACAGAGAAAAATAAGAATGCGGGCCAGAGAAGAGAAAGAAACAGGAAGAATTGCTAAAAGGTAGGATATAAGAAAATATTTATTGATGGAAAACAGTGGGAGTGGAACAAAGAGGAAGAGGAGCTTAGAACAAGGGCAAATTTCTAGATGAATGCCGAGAAGGGAGGAGAAAATCGAATGATGAGGATGGGTGAGAGGATAACGAGGAGCACGTGGGAATTCAGAAAAGGAGCAAGAGATTTTTATTTTGGAATGTAGCAGGAATAAGGAATAAAGATAGAGACTTCTGGAGATATATTGGAGAATTCGATTTCATCAGCCTATGCGAAACATGGATAGAGGAAATAGGGTGAACTGGAATAAAGGACAGGCTACCGGAGACGCACGATTGGATATGTAGTTTTGCGGTTAAGAATAAAAGAAGAAGAAGAGCGAAAGGGGGTTTCATAATAAGTAGAAAGAAGGGGTAGAGGGGTGAGATGAAATTCAAGATATGCAAGGAGGAAGAAGGCTTTGTAATGACGGAATTGGAGGGGGAGAGCAAGAAGAGGACGGAAAGAGACAGGATTAAAGTTATATCAGTTTATGTGTCAGATGGCGGTAAAAGGCTAGGCGATAGGCTAAAGGAGTTTATTGGAGAAGATGAGGAAGGAAAAATTGTAATTGGCGGCGACTTTAATGTAAGAATGGGTGAGTTAAGCAGTAGGAGTGTAGAGGAAGGAGGCGTAGAAAGGTATAGTAAGAATAAGATAGTAGGAAATGGGGGTAAAAATTTATCAGATTGGATAAAAGAAAACGGGTGTTATATTTTAAATGGAGCGACGGAGGGGGATTGAAATGGGGAGTATACGTATGTAGGAGCCAGGGGTAGCACAGTTATAGATTACGTTATTGTGAGTGAGGAGATGCGGAATAAGATAGGAAAATTCTGTATCGGCGAAAGAGTGGACTCAGATCACCTACCGATGGAGTTCGTGATGGAAGAAGAGGAAGAGGGAGGACAAGTAGAGGATCAAGTGGAGCAGCTGGGGGACATAAAAGAAGAGGAAATAGAGCGCATTCTGTGGGACGAAAAGTCGAGAAAGATGTATGAGGAAAAGACAGAAGAGCTGAGTCGTTTAGAAGATAGTAAAGACCGGAATCCAGCGTCAGTGGAAGAGAAGTGGAAAATAATTAAGAGGATAATAAACGGGGCAATGGTGAGAAGGAAAATAAAAAGACAAAAGAAGAAAGAATTAGGACATAAAGACTGATGGGACAGAAATTGTTCGAAGAAAAAGAGGGGGTTAAAGAGAATGTATAGGAGATGGAAAGAAAGAAAGGTGGAAAAAGAAAAGTTTATAGAGGAGAAAAAGAAGTTCAAGGAGTTAATAGAGAAGAAACTGAAAAATAAGAGGAAGGAGGAAGAGAAGGAACTCAGAGAACTGAAGAAGGAAGCTGACATATGGAGGTACATCAATAGGACAAGAAACAAGAGAGAAAATATGGAAAATAAAATAAAAAGGGAGGTTTGGAGACAGCATTTTATGGACCTCTTGGAACGAAGGGAGAAGGAAGGTGATACAGAAGGAGGACAGCAGAGGGAAGAGATGGAGCAAGAGGATATGCTAGAGGAAGAAGAAAATATAAAGGCAGTACGGAAAATGAAATTGAAGAAAGCGGCAGGAGTAGATGGGATTCCGATGGAAGCATGGAAGTACGCAGGTGATAGTTTATGGAAGAAATTGGTCGACCTGTTGAAACTCATTTGGAAGTGTGGGACGATGCCGAGGGATTGGAAGAAGAGCATAGTGGTGCCACTGTATAAGAGATGTGACAAGAGGTGAGTCAGTAGGAAATTACAGAGGAATATCGCTGCTATGCTCGGCGTACAAGATCTATGCGGAAATCATAAGAAAAAGAATGGAGAAGGAGGAAAGTTATATCGCGACATAAAGATGTTTCGGTAAAGTAAAATTACATCAAAACATAATAAAAGTTCGATTAACTAAAATTATGTTAAGGTATAAAAGTAACTCTCTATTCTTATTATGTATCAACATAATTTTAACTCATCAAAATTTTATTATGTGGCAACACATAATAATTCATGAATTAAAATTATACCGCGACATAAAAATAATTCGGTGAATTAAAATTATGTCGAGACAAAAATAATTCGATGAATTAAAATTATATATCAAATTATTATTATGTCGCCACATAATAAAATTTTGATAAATTAAAATTATGTTGATACATAATAAGAATAGAGAATTACTTTTATACTCAGACATAATTTTAATTCACCGAATTATTTCATATCACGACATAATTTTAATTTTATTCCATTTTGTGCATTGTTTATCCATTGTTACATCTATTGTAGAATAAAACATTGCCGAAATTGAAATTATATCGAGATATAATGAAAAATCGGAATTATGTCGCGATATAATTTTAATTTTTCGAATTTTTATTATACCGCGATATAACAGATCGATGAATTACAATTATGTCGCGACCTGATAATAATTCGATAAATATAAATTATGTCAAGACATAATAAAAATTAGAGAATATTTTTATACCCAGGCATAATTTTAATTTATCGAACTTTTATTATGTTTCGATGTAATTTTAATTCACCGAAATATCTGTATGTCTTGATATAATTTTAAATCATGGAATTATTATTATGACGCCACAAAATAAAAATTCGATAAGTAAAAATTCTATCGCCACATAATAATAATCCAGAATTTTTATTGTTTTGAAATAATTTTAATTTATCGAATTATTTTTATTTCTCGACATAATTTTAATTTATGGAATTATTATTATGTCGCCACATAATAAAAATTCATTAAGTTAAAATTATATCGCGACATAATAATAATTCCGAATTCTTATTATGTCTGGACATAATTTTAATTCACCGAATTATTTTTATGTCGCGGTATAATTTTAATTCATGGAATTATGTGTTGCCACATAATAAAATTTTGATGAATTAAAATTATGTCGATACATAATAAGAATAGAGAATTACTTTTTTACCCAAACATAATTTTAGTTTATCGAACTTTTATTATGTTTCGATGTAATTTTATTTTACCGAAATATGTTTATGTCGCGATATAACTTTAATTCATCGAATTATTATTATGTCGCCGCATAATGAAAATTCTTTAATGGGTGGTGGGGGGTTGGGGGAGTATAAACATTGAGAGAAATATTGATTTGTAAGTGTCTGAATAGCTCAGTTGGAAGAGCAGTCGCCCGGCAAGCGGAAGGTCTCGGGTTCGATTCCCGATTCAGCCGACTTTCGGACCAGAATTTTTCTTGCCTATTCTTTACAGGGGATGTTAAGAGAAGGAACAAGGGGAATTTCTGAGATCCCAACCATAGGATTCAAATTCCTTGGTTTCCAAAAATTTTCTTTCTTTCTTAATTGTCGCAATAACATCGTTTTGCTCTATTGGTCGAGAGGAATGAAGTATAGATTGTGGTTGAAAATTCTTTAAGTTAGAAATATATCGCCACATAATAATAATCCAAAATTTTTTTTATGTTTCGAAATAATTTTAATTCATCGAATTATCTTTATGTCTCGACATAATTTTAATTCACCGAATTATTTTTATGTATCAATATAAATTTATTTCATTTATATTATATAAGACAATTAATTATTTAATCTTTTTATATTAAATGGAATATTGTTTATGCTATGAAAAAGTAAAACTGCGTACTATACGTGAGCGCGGTTGCCGCCGCGCCGCAGCTAACTTCGCGCGCCCGCCCCTGACTTATTCTTGTAACTCTGCGCTGATTGACTGATTACAATAATTAATTGCGGTGAAATTATTCATCAGATCGAAAAATAGTGTTAGACATTTATTCTTAGATTTTCATTCTCTATCGAATGGTACTGAGCGTATGCAACACTTTTTTAACATCCTGTATATGTTGTTCGCGGACTTGAAAGCAGCCTTCGATAAGGTGGATAGAAGGAGGCTGTGGGAGAGTATGAGAAGAAAGGAAATGACGGAACATTTAATAAGAAGAATGAAGAGGATATATGAAGAGACAGAAGTGACAGTGAGAACGCAACAGGGATACACGAACAGTTTCAAGACAACAAAAGGTACTCCTTTACTAGTAAGGCAAGGATGTGTTCTGAGTTTACTCTTATTTAATTTATGTATGTATATAGCGGACATAGATAAAATTATGGAGGACAGAAATATAGGAGGCGTTAAGATAGGCAAAATTAGGATTTGGAACCTGGCGTATGCAGATGATATAGTTTTATTAGCAAATAATAGAGATGCGATGCAAGATATGATGAGCGTATTCAGACGCTTTTTAAAAGATATAAAGTTAGAGTTAAGTGCGGACAAAACAAAGATGATGGTTAACAGAAAAAGAAAGGAAAAGAAAGAAAAATGGAAATGGGGAGGAAAGGAAATTGAAGAGGTACAAGAATTTAAATATCTTGGTTTTGTGTTAAGTAATAAAGGTAATTATAAGAAACATATGAAAGAACTGGGGGAAAGGGGAAAAGCGCCGCGAGAAGGATTTGGGGTCTAGGCAAAAAGATATGTAGAAATGATTTCAGAAGGAGATGGGTTTTGTTCCAATATTTAGTCCAGAGTGTAATGGCGTTTGGGGTAGAAATATGGAAGTGGGAAGAGAAAGAGAATTTAGAAAAGATAATGATGGACTATACAAGATGGATTTTCGGTTTAGAGTTTTGCACATCTAGATACATAATTGCTAGAGAACTGATGATGGATAAGTTGAGAGTAGGATGGGGAATTAGAGCAAGGAGATACAAAGTAAAGATAAAGGAAGGGAGAGCAGGCAAAATTGCGAAAGAATGTTGGAGTAAGAAAGAATCATACTTCTTCAAGATAAAATGCAAATTATGTATATATGTATGTAAATATAATATATATAATAATAATATATTATATATGATAACATACAGAATGTATTCGGACTTTTGCGACAAATTTGAAGGGCTGCTAAATTTTAATAAATTATAAAAATTTTGTTTCCTTAGATGCTAGGCATTATTTTTATCTTTGTTGAATGCGTTTGCTAGATTTGATATGCCTTAGTTTTGATACAATCATTTATAAACAGACTTTCGGAACTCCCATGGGGTTACCACTATCTCTAATAATTGCAAACATAATAATGCAGGATATAGAAAATAAAGCTCTGTTAAAATTAGGGGAAAATTATCATTTTATTACAAATATGTGGATGACATATTATTAGTAGCTTGCAAATGACTAAAAAAATTGTGAAAAATTTTAATTCTTATAACGACAGAGTAGTTTACATGCAAAATAGAAAACAATAAATCTATCAATTTCTTAGGTTTAAAAATTATGATTAACAAGGATGGGAAAATTGTCACTGACTGGTTTCATAAAAACACTCACTTGGACAAATATCTTTCATATTTTTCGAATCATCCAATTTGCCATAATGTGGGCACAATATATAGCTTGATAAATAGATAGATAGATTTACAAGGCGCTTTTTAGGAGCGTTCCTGAACCTTTCACAGTCTGCTTTCCTTTCACTATTAACTTGGCGACCTTACAAATATTCTAAAACCTACAATCTACAATTTTCCCTTGAATTCTCGCGAATACCGGGGGTGGGCCTCCTGCTAGCTTGCTTTGTCCCACTTCTCCCCGGTCATTTCTCTCCGCATCCTTTTCTCCTTCCTTCTATATCCTCGTTCACCTTCCTTCTGATTTTTTGCTCCTCGTCTCTCTTTTCCTGCCCTTTCTCTCTCTCTCTCTCTCGTCTCCTTGTTCTTTCCTCTCTCCACTCTCCTTCCCTTCTTCCTTTAACAAAAAGAATACCCTATCCTCCTCTCCCTTTACTAAACTCCACTTTTTCCTCTTTCCTTTCACCCTTCCCCTCTCATCCATTCCCTTATATACATACATATATCCTTTCCTCTTTCCTTTTTTTCTGGTCATTTTGCGATCTTACAATTTTTTTCTAAGCACCCTTACCCCTTCTTTCCTTCTCCTTTTTTCCCCCTTTTCTCTCCTCACTCTTCAATTTTCTACTCTTATTCCCTGCCCCCTATTCCTTTCCTTATTCTTTCCTCATTCCCTTTCTTCTTTCTCTCTCTTCTCTTTTTCCTTTTCCTCTTTTCCTTCTCCTTCAAAAAAGTTTTCCTCCAACAAAAAATCTACTCTATTTCTCCTTCTCCGTCTCCTACTCTTCTCCTATTTCCTCTTCATTTCAAACCCATTCTTTTCCTTCCACTCACATTCTTTCCCCGCTAACTACCACATTCATTTTCCTTCACCTTTCTACCCTTGCTTTCTCCGTCATCTTCTACTTAATCCTTCTTTCTTCTTTTGTCAAGTCCTCTCTATCCCTATTTCTCATCTTCTTCACATCATCCTTCCCCTTTCTAATAATTTCTTCTTCTGTTCCTTTTCTCCTCATTTCCACTATCAACATCTTTCCATCGTCTCCTCTCACTTCCATCGACCCTACTATCCCTACTGTACTGCCCAACGCCACTTCCATATATTTTCCAACGCCCTCCTTACCTCAGAATCCTCTCCGTCTAATTCTCTCCAGATTACATTTCTCTTCCTCTTCCTTCTTTTCTCCTGCTCATCCAGTCTCTTAATCTTTTCCCTTTCTATTCTCTCTTCCCACTCCCTTTTTCTCCTTTTCTCCCTTTTCTCTATCTTTCTCCACATTTCCTCTTCATTTCTCCATGTATCTCCTTCCTTTTCCCTTCCCTTCTCTTTCATGTCCTTTTCTTCCGCTAATTCTCTTCTTCCTCTCTGTTCCCTTTCCTTCTTCGCCCTTCCCTCCTCTTTCCTCTTCTTCCTCCTCCGTCTCTTTCCAACATTCGTCTCACTTCCTCTCCTCCATCTTCTTTCTCTCTTCTCCTCTGGCTCCCGCTTCCTTTTTTCTCTTTCTTTTTTCCTCTTCTCCGCCCTTCCTTCTCTCCCTCTTTCTCACCTTTTCTCTTCTTCCGTTACTAACCTCCACCATTCTTCCGTACTCCCACGCTGTCTTTCCTGCCCTATGTATTTTATCTGTTCTTCACTTTTTTCACTTCTCCTGCTACCATCTCTCTTATCTTCTTCCTCTTTCTTCACCTCTCCTCCCTTTTCCTTTCCTTTTTTTCTTTTTTCCATCTCGCTCTATTCCTTTTTCAGTTTCCTTCTCTCTTTCCTTTTTATTTCTTTTCTCCGCCCATCTTTTTCTTGCACTCCTTTCTTCCTTTTTTCCTCCTTCTCCCTTTCCTTTCTTTCTCCTCCTTTCTCTTCCATCTTTTCTCACTTCCTTTAGTCTCCTCCCTTCTCTCCTTCTCTCTTCTCTCTTTTTTTCTCAATCCACCCTGCCATCTCCTCTACCCCCGTAACCATTCTATTATCCTTCTACTTGCCTCTTTCAGTTCCTCCCTACACCCACAGTTCCCATTCTTCGCCATCTTCCTTTCTTTTCCTTTATCCACCTTCTCTACTCTTACACTGCATACCTTTTCTTTACCACCCTTTCATTTCCTTCTCGTATTTTCCTTCCTTTATTTTTTTGACTCCAACTCCTCTTCCTCTTTTCTCTCCTCCTCTGTTACCTTTCACTTACGAGTTATATTCTCCACCATTTCCTTCCTTTTGTCCTCCTTCTCACCACCTTACCACCGTGCTTTGCTTGTACTTACACGTGTAAATTTTTTCTCTGCACACCTTTCCTTTGCCGCTCTTTCTTTTCACATTCTCACCTTTCTTTCTCATCTCTTCTCTTCTTTCCTCCTCTGTTCCTTTTACTTCTCTTTCCTGCACTTTATTTCCTTCTATTCTCCTCATCACCTTTTTATTACCACCGCTCCTGGCTGTATCTCTATTTGCTACTTTCACTGGTTGACAATGCCTTGGTGCGCATAACCTTTCACTTCTTTTCTTCTCTTGCCTCACATCTTCACGTGCCTTACATTTCTCCTGTAGTACCTGTGTCTGTCCTCTCTCTCTCTCTCTCTTTTCTTCCTCTTCCTCTGCTTACTAAGTTTCCTTTCTTATCAGGAGACGCGGTAGTGGTCCCGGCCATGTTCAAACCCTAAAGACCTTAAAAGACACTACAAGTCTCCTTATCCTGCACCATCAAAGTCCATTTTTGGGGGTGTAGAACTACTAAAATATAAAAAATTTTGAATTGCACGTAACATAACCTGAAGGCGGATCGCCACGAGTAATTTGAGCCAAGAAAAAAATAAAATCGGTCAAGCCTTCCGGAGATACAAGCGGTCAAAAGTGACGTTTTTTTCATGAAAAATAAGAACGTCGTCTTCTTCTTCTTCTTCTTCTTCTTCTTCTTCTTCTTCTTCTCTGTCGTCGCGTATAAATCTCTCTCACCTTTCACTCACACGTACCGCCCTCAACGTCCACTTCCACCCTCTCCTTCCTCTCCCACATTCCGCCCCACCCCCACCCCACTCCTCACCCCTCTTTTGCGTCCGCCTTTTTCAACCCCTCTTTCGTTTCGTCCTCTCTCACCGCCCTCTCTCATCCACACCCTTTTTCGCCCTCTCTCACCCTCTTTCGTCGTCTCACCCTCTTCGTCCTCTTTCACTCTCTTTCTTCTCCTCTCTATCCTCTTTCACTCTCTTTCATTCCCTCTCACCCCCTTCGTCCTCTTTCATTACCCTCTTTAATCTTTCGTCCTCTTTTTCGGCCTCTTTTTCGACCCTCTTTCATATCGCCTGTAATCCCTCTTTCGTCAAGTCTTTCATCAAACTCTTTCGTCCTCTTTCACCCCGCTTTAATTCTCTCTCATAACTCTCTTCAAGACTGTTTCGTCTCTTTCAAGACACCTCTTTGAATTCCCTCTCATAGCCGATTTCGTCCTCTTTAAACCCTCTTTCGTCCGCAGGAAACACTCTCTACGTCCTCGTCTGCAGGATCGTTTCATTCTTTCTCAGGATTGATGTAAAAGTAGACTGGATCATAAAAACTGTAAAGGAAATAAAAAATGAAACAGCCTGTAAAAATGAAATTAAACTAATGATTAAAGAAGTAGTTCAAGAAGAATTAGTAAATGTTAAGCAAGAACTGGAAAACTTGAAGAAAATGATACAGGGAGTAACATGTGTATCAAAGGAAGAATCGCAGATAAGCTACAGTGAAGCGGTTAAAGGGAAGAAGAAAGAAAACGTTATAATTGTTAAGCCGAAAATGCAACAAGAGAGTGAAGCCACTAAAAAATTGATAAAAGAAAAGGTGGATATTAAGAGTATGGCTATGGAATAACGAAATTAAGGAAAGGTAGCAAGGGAACAGTGATCGTGGGTTGTGAAACCGGCGAGGAGGTGAAAAAATTGAAGGAGACAGTTCAAGCTAAGCTGGGAGAAATTATAAAGTGATAGAGTCGCCTCAATCAAAACCAAAGATAAAAATTATTAATATAGGTGTAGAAGAGATGAAATTAGATGATAATGAACTTATAAATACGATAAAGATGCAGAATAAAATAGATACAGCAAATATGCGAATTGTGAAGAGAATGATCAAAGAAAGGAGAAATAATCAATCTGAAAGAAAAGGAAATGAAGAAGGGTCAATAATAATAGAAGCAGATGAAGAGACACATGAGCTGATATTGAAGAAAGGAAAGCTAAGTGTAGGATGGAAGAAGTGTCCGGTATTTAATCACATCAATGTTAAAAGATGTTTCAAATGCTGGGGATATTATCATATTGCAAAAAATTGTACGCGAGAGGAAGCATGCTATAAATGTGCAGGAAGTCATAACTCGCGTGATTGTACAGCGACAAAGAAGAAATGTGTGAATTGTATGTTCAAAAATCGAACATACAATCTGAATATAAGCGA